GCGTAAGGAACAAAACATTGCTTTTTCCTCTTTTGGGGAAAGTGAGATCAAACCTGGGTTAGACAACAGAAAGGGAGACTAAACATTAGGAACACACATCCAGCGGACATTTTCAGTTGATGCATTGCATTAGGGACGATCCCTGACGCAACTCTGTCGTGAAGCATGTAAAATGGAGTAAATTTAAGTCCCAGATATCTGACTTGTCCTGGAACAGGAAATTATGGAGGTATGGAATAAAAACAATTCTGCAGATTCTGGAGTGAAACTCACCCATATGCAGAGGGCCAGCACAAGGCTTATGTACCACTTAAACTTTATTTTGAGGATTTGGAGTGGGACTTCAGTGGTACGTGGCTGTTATGGTGACCTTGTTGTGCAGGGATGAATGTATGCTGCATGACAATCAGAAGAAATAACTCGCACTAAAACTGTGACATACTAGCCTCAGTTTTCCTGGGTTTTCTTACCTGTGGCTATAGTTAAATAGATAGCCGGGGAGGGGGGGCGGCGCAGGGAACACTCTTTTTCTTTCTCTCTGCTGTTCACTGCACTAAAGAGTCAGCCATTTTGGGGTTCCTCTGACTCTGTACATACTCTGGGTATTACGTTTAGCAGTTCCAGCTGGATAACCCACGGACACATCTGCCTTTTAAATCCTTGCTTGCTTTTGAAGATCCCTTGTGAAGAGGAGGAGCCTGAACAGTCCTGAAGTCTCATATCACTGGTGAAGGTTAATCAGATAAACATGATAATTTCAACTGAAAATCCGTATTTAAAAATGTAATTATTGCCTAAGCCTAGGATACAATGACTGGATATGTTAGCCATTTCTCCAGCTAAAAAGCAGCATCCTTAGAGGTTTTTAAGGCCTGGCTTGACAAAGCCCTGGGTGGGAAGATTTAGTTTGGGTTGGGCCTGCTTTGAGCAGGGGGTTGGACTAGATGACCTCCTGAGGTCTCTTCCAACCCTCATCTTCTATGATTCTGTGAAGTTGGTTGTGTGTTTGTTTTTAAATCTTCACAGATTAAGGGCTTGGCTACACTTGTGAGTTACAGCACAATAAAGGAGCCCCGGGCACCCTAGCTCACTCCCCGTCCATGCTGGCAAGGCACGTAGAGCGCTCTGTCTCCATGGCTACAGCGCTGCTGGTACTCCACCTCGGCGAGTAAAATAACGTTTGCTGTGCCACCGCTGGAGCGCCGTGTCGCCAGTGTGGACACCCTGGTCTGTGATTGGCCGCCAGAAGTATCCCACAATGCCTATTCTAGCCAATCTGGTCATCACTTTGAACTCTACTGCCCTGCCCTCAGGTGACCAACCATCAGACCCTCCCTTTAAATTCTCTGGGAATTTTGAAAATCCCCTTCCTGTTTGCTCAGCCAGGCGTGAAGTGCTCTCAGCGAATCTTTCCAGGTGACCATGCCTCCACGCGCCAGGCGAGCCCCAGTATGGAGCAATGGCGGGGTGCTGGACCTCATCAGTGTTTGGGGGGAGGAAGCTGTCCAGTCCCAGCTGCGCTCCAGCTGCAGGAATTACGATATCTTTGGGCAGATATCAATTACGATATCTTTGGGCAGATATGGCCATGCTGGAAAGGGGCCATGACCGGGAAGCACTGCAGTGCAGGGTTAAAGTGAAGGAGCTGGGGAGTGCCTACCACAAAGCCCGCGAGGCAAACAGCCACTCCGGTGCTGCCCCCGCGACCTGCCGTTTCTACAAAGAGCTGGACGCTATACTTGGGGGCGACCCCACCTCAGAGGGCCAGTGCAACAAAGCAGGAGGAGAAGGAGGAGCAGCAAAACGGGAGCAAGAGTGCTCCAACAGAGGAAGACACCCCGGAATCCCTAAATGCATGCAGCCAGGAGCTGTTCTCAAGCCAGGAGGAAGGTAGCCAGTCGGGGTGGGCAGTGCTTGGGGAACACCAGAGGAGGCTCCAGGTAAGCAGCTTTTATTTTGGGAAGGAAGTTATTTGGTGCGGGCTCTTGGGGCAAGGAGGGTTAGGGCTGCATGCATGCCTAGATGCAGAATAGGGCGTTGAAGTGCTCTCTCACATCACAGTAATCAGCCTCAGTGATCTCTTCAAAGGTCTCAGCCAGAACTTGGACAATGTGCTTGCGCAGGTGTCTTGGGAGAGCCACTGTTGTCCTTGTCCCAGTAAGGCTAACTTGTCTGTGCCACTGTGCCGGGCTGGGTGGGGGGACCATTGCTGCACACAGGCAAGCTGCATATGGGCCAGGGCGGAAGCCACATTGCAGTAGAAGACCCTCCCTTGCTTCCCTGGTCACCCTCAGTAGCGAGATATCTTCCAGGATGAACTCCTGTGGAAAATGTGGGGACAGTGTTCAGTATAGGGGCCCTCTGCAGCTGTTGACTCTCCCCAAGGCACAGAAACCCAGAGGACAGTATGGCCCTGAAACAATCAGTCACGCTTGACCTTGTGCTTACTCACCATTTTGGGGCTCCTGTGGGTTATGTGCACTCGCTTTGGGACAGACAAATTATGCTATTTTGTAGACTGTGCTTGCCCTTGAGTATGGGGGAATCGTTGCTCTGTATGGTGTGAACAATGCTGCCTCTGTTAAGTGTTGCATTTTGCCTTTACAGATGCAACCTTGAGATCTCAGCTGTCCGTGTTATCACCGGCCGAGAGGCTGCAAAGAATCAGGAAGAGGCCATGTAGAAGCAAAGAGGACATGCTGCATGAAGTCATACAGCATTCAACTAATGAAAATGAAAAAGAGCAGGAGTGGCGGGAGAGTGAAAGGACGGTCCACCAGCAGAATGCGGATCGCCGGCACCAAAGCACAGAGCGGCTGATAAGCATCATGGAGCGCTAAGCAGACTTGATCCAGGCACACGTAGCCATGCAGGCGGAGCACTACTGCGCCCACCCCCACCCTACAGCCCTTGTCCCAAAACTCTTTCCCTTGTGCCCCCATGTCACCTCCAACCCACTTTCCCCAACATCCGGGTTCTTATCACCACCAGCTGCCTCCAACATCTGTAGTTTCACCACCCATACTTTGGGAATGATTTACAGCTGTAAACCCAGTTTCCATAGCTAAAGCACTGCTCCCAATGTATACCTAGTAACTGTACAATTTGGAAAAATAAAACATTATCCTTATGTCCATTCTCTTGTTAACTCGCTCATTTGGGAATGTCTTGTTTATTAAGGCCATACAGCAATACGTCGAAGAAAAGAGACATAGCAGACAAACACACTGCTTTAGAGAGAAGGTGGATCATATCCTGATCACTGCTATATTGCTGCAAACATGGAGGCGTATCTGGATTTGTTGACCAAATAAACAGAAGGATGATCATCCCTTAGTCAGATGACAGAATATTTGCTTTAGTTGCAATTTAATATATTTGTACATCTTTTTATTTAGTGATGTTTATTTTAAATCACGTACTTCATACCCTTCCATAAACACTGGGCAAGTCACAGGTAGGACAGTATCTGTCAAAACAGAGATCATGGTAATAGAAAGAAACATAGCCCCACACCCTCCCTCACTGGACTGGGCAGAAAACCTCTAGTGTAACAAGCAAGGAAAAAAGTGATCCTTGAAGTGTGGTTCTGCTCTGAAATCTCACTAGGTTATACCTCTATGATTTCATAGGTGTTCTCATTATTCTCTCTGTACCCCAAAAGGGCAGAGACATCATCAAGTCCACTAGAGACTTCACTATTATCGATTTTATGCAAAAGGTGCTCAGATACTACAGTAATGGGTGGAAGTATAAAGCCGTAAGAGAAGTTTTATAGTTTGACCAATTTGCAAGTCAAAAAACAATTTTAACTACTAATCCAGCAAACTCATGTGGAGTTCAGAAAATCAAGCCATGTTCTCTTTGCCTCTTACTTCATCACCAATAACAAAGATTTTGCAACTAGGATTTACAGTGGTTGGCTATTTTGTTCCTGATGCACAAGGGAGAATCAAATCTTCACTCTGCTGACAGTTGTAACACTGCATTTTTCTCAGGCAAGCAAACCCATGTTATTCAAAGACACAGGGAGCAGAACTGTAGAGTGGGAAAGGTGCTAATTTTGTCAGCACTTTTCTAACCATAAGTGTAGTTTAAAGGATTGTTCATTTTTTTTCACTTATTTTTAGGTGGATTTTGGACAATTAAAATATTGTTTTTGTGCATCTACTTTTTGAGGTCTTAGGAAAGCAGGATGTAAATGCAAAATATAGTTTATGCTGAGCCCACTTGTCTCTGAGATCTGCAGGAAGAGGAACCCCTCCATGCAAAAGGGTAGGCAGTGGTCAGCCACTTCCCCAGTACTGATTCCTCTTCTCCAGATATCATGGATGTCTCTTTGTAGGACTGGGAATACACAAACTGTGAGAGGGAATCAGCAGGCGGTGACAGAGGGTGAGCTGGGCATGGGATGGTGCACATTGTCTCCCTCCTCCCCTCAAGCTCTTTGTAGAATCAGCAGGAAAGCTAACAGAGCCTAATGCTACTTTAACTTTCCCACTCCACACCTTACCCTCATCCCCCACCTGTCCATATAAGGTTCTAGGGTCAGCCACCAGTGGAGGAAGTCCTGGCAATGCAGCTTCATTGGTGCCATGCTAGCCAGATTGTATGTAGGGGGTTGCAGAGCCACTGTGGAGGCATGGGACCTCCTGTGGATTCCCCAGGAGACATGGGATGCTGAGAGGCCCCTTTGTTCATTCTTCAGCAGAGCAACTCATCCCCCCCTCAAATTTTTGGGAGGGCACTCTCTCTCTCTCTCCAGGTTTTTCTAGGGGAGGGGACAATCAGGTCCATTATTATTTGTCTGTCTACATGCCCCAATAAAGAACCTCCTACCATTGTGACATCTGGAAGTATCAGTCATTCTCAGTCATGTTAGCTTCATCAACTGATGCAAATATAGCAAACGGGCGGTTAATCAAGGTGCTATTGTCATCAATAGGAATGATAGCAATAGTCCATGATCCAGTAGCTGATCATTGTGTTTGTGCTTCTAGGTCTTTGACAGAGTCCGGGAAGATTGCCCTAACTTCCAGGAGAAGATTAAGCCTATTAATGCAGAACTCACTCAGCCAAATCTGGCCATCAGCGCCAAGGACTCGCAGGAGCTCCTGTCCCGGGTCAATGTTGTCTTCCACTGTGCAGCAACAGTTCGCTTTGATGAGCCTCTAAAGTATGTCCCTTGTTCTCTGTTGTTTGCATTTATTAAGTAGAACTTAGCTTCTTACTGGGACACACAAAATATGAGAGACCATTATTGTAATTTCTTGTACAATTACAGTAATAATTCTCCAGGTATGTTTTCAAACTGCACATAAGTTCTGGATTGGATATACAATTTAAAGAGCTCAAATTATTGACTGCCTAAAATATCATGTATGTCAGAACTTAAAAAATACATACACACACACACACACCAAGATTGAGGTACTGTGGCATTGCTACATGGAGCCGAGGACCAGAATAAAAGGGAGTTCTGCAAATTAGGATTGCAGTGCACTGGCAGAGTTAGGTGTGGCTCCAGAACTGGAACAGCAGATGGGTGCTATGGGTCAGGACTGAGATGTTTTGGCAGGGCTACATGGAAGGAGTGCGAAGTGAGTCTACGCTGTCTTTGACTCTACAGCCAATGTTGTTGGTCCTACTTTTTCACTAAAGGTAACTCAAGGAGCGAAATGATATATTTATGAAGCAGCATATTTTAAATAGCAAATCACAAGATACTGTAATGTTTTAAAATATTCACCCAGCTTTGAAAATGTTGCCTTCATAATGAGGCATTTTAAAAAGGTGGTCTGTTACTTAGGGGATTTCCTGGAGAAACACTTGGTTTGTTCATTGTCACATATAAATGAAAGAGTTCCTAGCACAATGGGGTCTGAATTGTGATTGGTCCCTTTGAGCCCCACTTTAATAATGATAATGATCTGACTGTGGTCATAGATACAGGCCCCAAAAGAATTTCATTAATGACAATTATAATATCCCTCTCTGAGACGTTACATTGATTGTCTCCATATCACTCAATATGAGGGTTTTTTTCACACAGGGATGGGGGGAATTTCTCCCAGAGCACTGTATAAATGTGGTACGTATTTTTTTGCCTTCCTTTGAAACATGAGGGGTGAGTTGCTGCTATGGGCAAGATAGTGGATTCCATGACTGGTGATTCAACATAGCACGATAGATTGAATGTTCTTGTGTTCCAAAAACAAAGCCCTTAAAATGAGATTATAGATAGAACTAGGTGAATTTTTTCAGCCAAAACTACATTTTATTTAAAAAAAAAAAATGTGTATTTGGCAACACTGAAAAATGTTTTGCAAGTTCATGTTGGTTTCATCAAATTGTTCACATCAAGGAGGGGGGGAATATTGAAATATTTTGGTTTTACATTTTTGAAATTAAACATTTTGATTTTTCAATTTGAAATTACTTTTTGATTCAGAATTTCTTTTACTTATATTTTAAAAAGTTTTAAAAGGCTTTAAATCAAAATTAAACATTGCATTTTGAGTCGAACATATCGTTTTGTTTGACCTGAAACAAATTTTTTTCAACTTTTTTATTTGCTGAACATTTTTCAAAAAATTATTTTAATTTCTCCAAAACCTTTTTTTTGTTTTGTTTTGTTCAGAATTGTCAGTGAGCTGAAAAACTTATTATTCACTCTGCTCCAATTAGAGACTAGGTGATATTGTGCGGTGTGTGCAAAATAAATGAATTTAGATTACTACTTTGGCCAGAAATCATAACCCATGGGTATTTCTGTCCAGTCCAGCTGAACTGATAATGAGTTCTTTTTTTCCCCCTAAAAAACTGAAAGCCCCTCCTGCTGACAAGTTTGCTGAAACTGGCCCCATCTTCCCCAGTGTCTCTGCCTCCTTGGAGGAGCGCACATTTCTTCTAATATGAAGCCTGCAAGCAAGCTCAGGTAAAGGGAGCCCACACATCAGTCAGAGCCCATGCAGAAAACCACCAGAACACCTTGAACATATCCTGAGTGTTTCAGGGAGGACCTTCACACTGGTACCCTTTTTCTCTTCCCCCCCAACCTCTTGGAATCACTAATTTTATTACTTGTAACTTTAGCTTCTTCTAGTGTTATTCCATTGCTTTGGACAAGGCCTCATATACTTATCTGGAATCCCTTGCATGTTGGTATAGCATGTGTCTTTCAAGACCAGATATGAGACAATGTTGAATGGAGTTAAAAAGTAAATAAGAACAACACTTCATGTCCTTCTGTTTAAATACTTGTATTTTTCTTGAGGCGGAATGGTTGTTCAGCAAACATGCCAGCAAATAAGTGCTGTCAGTTTTAATTTCCATAATAAATTAAAGAGGAACTTTTGCCTCCAGTCCATTGGATTGGGTAGAAATACCCCTGAGTTATAGTTTTTGACCAGAGTAGTGGATCCATAGTAGAAGAATCCAGCACTACAGGTTTGAAAACTAATTTTGCCTCTTGCATCTCATTTAAGCTTCCTCTTCTGCTGTGCTATTTTCCTCACTGTGGAGGTTTGCCTCTCAAGAGAGATTTGCAGTGTATGTAATTTTAATACATTCATCCCCTGTGAACCCCTTTTGTTTGTTTTCTCTCCTCTTGTTTAGACATGCCCTGCTGCTGAATGTCATGGGCACACAACAGCTCTTACTGCTGGCCCGGCAGATGCAGAAGCTCGAGGCTTTTATCCACATCTCCACTGCCTATGCAAATTGTAATCGGAGAAATATAGATGAAGTCATCTACCCACCACCTGTTGAGACCAAGAAGCTCTGCGACTTAGTGGAGTAAGTAGAAACAGACACAGATTTCCTTCCTGATGCTGGTGTGATGCGCCATCTTTGTAGAAAACCTGTGACTGGATTGTTCACACACCTATGCTATGGAATGTTCCCCCAGACCAGTTATAGTTGCAGTGCCCTTCTCATTTGCACATCAGCTAACAGTGCTGGGAAATGGGTGTGTAACAGAAGGAGACAAAGGGAGGTGGTAACTTGGATTCCAAGTTTCTTCAAGAGATCAACTTTCAAAACATTGATTGGAGGAATCATTCCTACATGCTTGTATCCAATAATGTTAGCATTTTTGGTCTTCCCCTTTAACCTATTTTTATTCATATTTTCTGGAAATATTAGCAATATAGACATAACCTCTGAGTTTTTATTGGAGGTCTCTTAAAGTCACATTAGATTGTTATTTGGATCGACCTTCCAACTGTAGTTTGATTTCATTTTGAATAGGAAAGAATTAGCAAATAAAATGATCCATATGTGTCAATCCTATTATTTCAGATGTTTTTCCACAGTCTTTATTTATAGTGGCATGTGACTCTTTAAGGTCCAGCATGGAGTCAGCTGAAGGTGCTTGTTTGTGTTAGTGAGAATGATGCAGTGTTTCTTCCTTTTCTAAGTCCCAATGCTCTTGTTCCCTCAATAGGAGCTGTAATGTTTTAGAAAGTGAGCGTGATTCACCATCGCATTACTCCTGTTGTCACTCAGTGTGACTCCACTTATTTCAATGCAGTCCCAAATAGTGTTAAACTGGAGTGAATCAGACTCACTGTTTCAGAAAGAGATTTAAAATGATGACCCCTCATTCTAACCCTGCAAGAATCCCAGCCCAGACTGCTGCGTTTAGCTCTTTCTAATGGTTCCTTTCCAACTGCTTTCTCCCCATGTATGAGCTGTGCATCTGCAGGGCCAGGTTCATTCTGTATTGAAAACCACAGCTCAGCTGGAGAATTCAGTAAATCTGCAGGACAACAAAAGTGTTTATTTAACTGAGTTTGTTGAATAGATGGATAATTAGAAAGAAAAACAAAACCTGCTGACAGGGATTCCAGGGAAGCCTTCTCCTGAGAAGAGCTAAACTTCCCCATGGCAGTTTGTTCTGCTTTCCTTTTTCTTTTCAGATAATTTTCCATTTGCATGACATTAACTTTAACTGTGCCAGCCATTAGCTCAGAATGCAGGTGTGAGCCTTCTTGTCCTTCGGACTTCTTCAGAGATGGGCATAAGCAGTATCTGCTGGCTTTTTCTCTGAGAAAAGAATAGAATTTGGCTTTTGCTCTTGAATCCCATGTTGCCAAAATAAATGATTGCACTCTCTGAGTGCTAACTGGAAAAAGTAATGTCAAATATTGTTCTGTCTTTAATTTTTCTCTAGCAGCCCAGAGTCTTGAGTATAGTTCTCCCCAGCCAGCATATGAAGTCAGAATAATTTAAAAAGTCTTTTAAAGATATCAGAATCTCCCACCTTCCCCACTTACAAAAAGGGGTTTGCCAGCTTGCAGAGTTCATTTTTCTGTCACCAGCAAGTGCTGACTCAGAAAAAAGACTTGAGCAAAGGACACAATGAGCCTCTGAAACCAGCAGGGATTTCTGACAATATGCCTCTACCACAGGCTCCAGGTTGCACAGACAAAGGAAGTAATCAGGAAAGCCTCAGAGAGTTACGGGGTGAGGCACTATCTTCTCTGCTCTGCTGTACGTTTGCCTCAGCAGTATGTACAGCTGTCAACTCTTGGTCACCACATGGTTTGGTTTTTTGTTTGTTTGCTTGCTTACTTGCTTTTCTTACACTTTCTCATGGTTTCCTGAACTCTGGCGGCATTCTTCTGAATGTTGTCCTTGCTCAACAGGTTTACTATCTTCCATTGCTTTCAGTGGGCTGGAAGCCACAGGTCGCCCTCAGTTAAGATGGCTGCCACTTCCCAGCAGCCTTTGCAGGTGGCATGAAGGCTGCCCATAGTGAAGAGGACCACTGTCTCCCATTGTTTTTAAAGGCACTGAAGCTAGGGGTCACTCAGCGAAGATTGCCGGACTCTTGGTTTGGAAAGTGGTCTGGAAACTGTAAGGGTGCCGGAAGGAGACTTGTGGGCGGGGGCTGGGGAGGCTGCAGAGGAACATGGGGGAGTAGGAGGGAGAAAGTCAAGATCAGGGACTTGTGATGGGGAAAAGAAAGGAAAATACAAAGGCAAGTGGGGGACAGGAGACAAAGGGAAAATGTGAGGAGCAGAGAGGAAGACAAAGAATGGGTAGGAGGAGGGAGGCACGGGTGATGCTATCAGAATACTTCATTATTCTGTCTTCAGCTAACTAGAGGAAGTATATCTAAGTGTGGGCACTAGTCCAGAAGGGCTCAAAGAAAGATAATTAATAGGTAAGGAAGTTTTCCCCTTAATCCCTTCCTCCACCCCATATAGTTCCAAATAGTTACATGGATTGTGTCAGCAAAAAGGGGAAAGAAATAGCAAGTTATTCTTTGGGCCAGCCAGCTGTGAAAGCATCCCTTCATATCTACATCAACTATCTATTTGAAAACTGATTTTAAAGCATTCAGCTGAACAAGCATCGATATTTTTCTTGTTTCATATGTCTGAGGCTGGCAATACATTATAATCCTGGCTGTTCACCTGCTGTTCAGGTTCATAGTAGCCAATGCCAGCAGAAACTGGAACAGGTCTGTCAAGGTTCCTCCCCCACTCTGAACTCTAGGGTACAGATGTGGGGACCTGCATGAAAACCTCCTAAGCTTACTTTCACCAGCTTAGGTTAAAACTTCCCCAAGGTATAAATTAATTTTATCCTTTGTCCCTGGATCTCCACTGCCACCACCAAACTCTAACTGGGTTTACTGGGAAATGTAGTCTGGACACGTCTTTCCCCCCCAAAATCCTCCCAACCCTTGCACCCCACTTCCTGGGAAAGGTTTGGTAAAAATCCTCACCAATTTGCATAGGGGACCACAGACCCAAACCCTTGGATCTGAGAACAATGAAAAAGCATTCCGTTTTCTTACAAGAAGACTTTTAATAGAAGTAAAGGAATCACCTCTGTAAAATCAGGATGGTAGATACCTTACAGGGTAATTAGATTCAAAACATAGAGAATCCCTCTAGGCAAAACCTTAAGATACAAAAAAGACACACAGACAGGAATAGTCATTCTATTCAGCACAGTTCTTTTCTCAGCCATTTAAAGAAATCATAATCTAACACATACCTAGCTAGATTACTTACTAAAGTTCTAAGACTCCATTCCTGGTCTATCCCCGGCAAAAGCAGCATACAGACAGACACAGACCCCTTGTTTCTCTCCCTCCTCCCAGCTTTTGAAAGTATCTTGTCTCCTCATTGGTCATTTTGGTCAGGTGCCAGCGAGGTTACCTTTAGCTTCTTAACCCTTTACAGGTGAGAGGACTTTTCCTCTGGCCAGGAGGGATTTTAAAGAGGTTTACCCTTCCCTTTATATTTATGACACGCCCCCCAAATCTCAGCTAGGGGGTGAAACGCTGGCTGGGATTTCTTCCTGGAGCTCTAGGAAAAACAGAGTTAATAAGACACATGCACCTCTAAATATACTACCAAGTACATAAAGACTAACAATATTTTCCACATCTCAAGGACGATTTTAACCAGTTGATTCTGGGAAACTTTCACGGAAGAGTGTATCAGCCACTTTGTTAAAAGCTCCTGAGATGTGTTGGATGTCGAAATCAAAATCTTGGAGAGCTAAATTCCACCGAATAAGTTTTTTGTTATTTCCCATGGTGGTATGAATCCACTGTAGTGCAGCATGGTCGGTTTGCAGGTGGAAACGCCGTCCCCAAACATATGGGCGTAGCTTTTCCAGAGCATAGACAATGACGTAACATTCTTTTTCACTGACTGACCAGTTGCTTTCCCTCTCAGACAGCTTTTTGCTGAGAAACACTACAGGGTGGAATTCTTGATCAGGTCCTTTCTGCATTAAAACTGCTCCCACACCACGCTCGGATGCATCTGTGGTTACTAGGCACGGTTTGTCAAAGTCTGGGGCCCTTAGTACAGGGTCAGACATGAGTGTTGCTTTAAGCTTGTTAAAGGCCTTCTGACACTTTTCGGTCCACTGAACGGCATTTGGCTGTTTCTTTTTGGTTAGGTCTGTCAGTGGGGTGGCGATTTGGCTGTATTGCGGTACAAATCGTCTGTAATAACCGGCCAAGCCTAAGAAGGATTGAACCTGTTTCTTTCACTTTGGGACAGGCCACTTTTGGATAGCATCCACTTTGCCTGTAGGGGGCTGATAGTTCCTTGACCCACTTGGTGTCCAAGGTAAGTCACTCTGTTTAGGCCTATTTGACACTTCTTAGCCTTAACAGTTAGTTCTGCCTCCCTTATGCGCTCAAGGACTTTTTGTAGATGTTCCAGGTGGTCTGCCCAGGAATCCGAAAATATGGCCACATCGTCAAGGTAGGCGACTGCATATTCTCCTAATCCCGCTAGGAGACCATCTACAAGTCTTTGGAAGGTGGCGGGTGCATTTCACAGCCCAAAAGGGAGTACATTAAATTCATACAACCCGAGATGCGTGGTGAAGGCTGACCTTTCCTTGGCAGATTCATCTAGCGGTACCTGCCAGTACCCCTTGGTTAAGTCCAAGGTAGAGATGAACTGGGCCCGTCCCAGTTTCTCTAATAGTTCATCTGTGCGTGGCATTGGATAGTTGTCTGGGCGAGTTACAGCATTTAGCTTACGGTAGTCCACGCAAAAACGTATCTCCCCATCTGGTTTGGGAACTAGAACCACTGGAGATGCCCATGCACTTCCAGAGGGGCGGATTACACCCATCTGTAACATATCCTGGATCTCCCGTTCTATAGCAATTTTAGCTTGAGGAGACACCCGGAAAGGTTGGACTTTAATTGGGTGAGTATTACCTGTGTCAATGGAGTGGTATGCCCGTTCAGTCAGTCCTGGGGTGGCTGAGAACGTTGGCGCGTAGCTAGTGCACAGCTCCTTGATCTG